AATGTTTATACGAAATTATTTATACTGAGAAAAATATCAGTATCGTGAGATAACAAATACAAGTAAATCTTCTCGAAAGTTAGCATCCATATTTTTAAACGTGTTAAAACGCAAATCCTTAAATATATCTTATAAATATATTAAATATATTAAATATTTATTAATTGTTTATATATTAATTATATCTTATAACTTAAAAACAAAGTGACTTATGCCACTTTCAAAATAAACGGCTCATACGTTGTCGACAGCTTTCGAAACGAAGTAACTTTTCGAAAATCGAATCGAACGATTTTATACTTTTTTCTTTTCGAACGATGAAAGAGCTAGTTTGTTAGGCGATTTGAAACGACAAAAATAATGTTTAAAATTACGTTCTTCAGCCTTTTATCCGAGCACCGAACGAAATCGATTATATTTTTATTGTTTCTCTTTGCGACGAAGCTCAAATTATTCTTTTTGGAGAGAAAGTTTTTTTTCACACATTGTTCGATTTCACCAGTGCTCCTAACATCTCGCGAAAAATTCAACGCTTTTGGCCCAATTTCAAAAAAAGTTACTCCGTTCCAAAAGTCGTCCACGCACACGTCCCAGCAAGCACGGATCCGGATTTATGCCGACACGTTACAAGCTGAATTTTCTAAATTACTGAGCAGTTCCGTCGAACATGGCGGTAAAACAAAGGCAGCCTTGGGAACAGGGGTTGCAAGTTGGAAAATGTTTGGAAACTACCACGACTAGTTTAGACCCCGAACTTTAGGGTATACGCAGCCAGATAAGAGACCCTGAAATGTCCTTGCAGTAAACTGTCTCGGGGGTTTCGACCCGGCACGTCGACGGCAAGAGTGGCTTCACGAAACTGTACATGTGTCATACATTCGCAGCAACGATGCGCATTGTTGTCGGATTTACCCAGATTTGTCCGTAAATTATGCAGCGGTTGAAAAATATGAGAATCGATTTTCCCGCGTGAATGATTAACGCCGTTGTTTCGTGGACTCCTTAAATTGGTCCGACGCGAATAATTTAGTGCAACTGAACCGTGACATTAGGAGAAGGTAGCCTGGGATGGCTATAAATATTCCGGAAGAACGCGATCTATTCTCGAAATATGGCCGAACGAAGAATAATCGCGGTGCCCTTGGAGGACCGGCTAAGGTAGCTTTCGTCACGGGCCGTTCGCAAGTTCGTGCCGCCATTAATAATGCATCGTAGATCCAAATCGATCCCCCTTTCACGCCCCTGCAGGCATCAATGGAAATAAAGTACCACTCACCTGAGACATCAGAATGGCGTCGTCGGATTCGGACTCCTCTATGGACTCCACGAGGCTCTCGCGACTCGCCAACACCTGGAAACGACGATTTATTCTGCGATTAGTTCCGCTTCGAAGCGACGGGAATCGAACGATAATTATTGAGAAAGATGTAGCACGTTCATTAAATTACAATATATCGTAATTATTTTACTCTGTTATGCTTCGGGAACATAATTTTTGCTCGGATGAGGGGCTTCGCTGAGAAATGTTCCTAAAATTTCTTCTCGAAAACGTCTGAAATTTGTACCCATTTTCAGCCAACTTGAGTATGACGATTTACAACAGTTATTAACTCGTTTATTTGTAAAAGTCGCGCATATATGAATGTCATATCTCGAAATGAATGATAATAAATTTTACACGTTCATTGTGTGTGCATGTACTTTCATTTCGCGTTTTCCACGCTCTATTTTTCTATACTTATAAAATGATTCTATGTACAAATAATTTTGTATAAAAAAATATCGTGTAATACTATTATTGCTTAATGTTTACAGCGGCTAGTAAAAAGAGAACATAAGAAACGATCTCGCGGTAACAAGTCGGTAAACCAATTTTTCGAAACGCGATAAAATCGTGGTCCGTTTCCGAAGGAAAAGTACAGTAATGTCTCCCAAATTGACGCCCAAATTGTGCAGAAAAATGGACAATTAGGGAAAAGGAGATACGATTGTTCGAGCCTTGGAGTTATAACTGTTGACAATCGGCAACTGTAAAAACCAACCGCCAAGGCTCGAATAATCGTATCTCCACTTGCCAAATTGTCGTCCATTTTTCTGCAAAATCTGAGCGTCGATTAGGGAGACTTTACCGTGCACTGTAATCCAGAAAAAAGAAGAGTGTTTCGAATTCTTATTCGTGTTGTTCTGACCAGACTAGGAATAGTCTAAATATAGACAAAAGTACACTTCATTGAAGTCTCCACTTCCCCCGGAGCCTCCGGCAGAGCTATAAATGCGGAGGATCCATAATCTAGAAATACCTAGTAATAAATAGCAAGCCTCGACTCGTATAATTCCAGCGGCTCGACCGTCCCGCAAGTAATTCCCATAAACCCGAAAATATCCGGAAGGAACATCCCCGGGCGCTAATAAACACGCGGGAGCGTGCTATCAATTAAACACGAAGGAGAAATTAGGACCACGCGACGAGCTCCCTGGAACGACGGCCTCCGAAACTCCGTTTCCCGGTTAGGGAACGCGATTTTCCCCGTATGCGAATAAATTACATGAGAAATTCGCCGAGCTTCTCTGCCGGGTCCCTTGACAGTTCGGCAACGCGAAGGAAAATAGGCGCGGGTGGTAACGGCGGAGAAGCGAGAGGGAGGAGGCGGAAGAGGAGGTGGTCCGCAGGGTGGGTATCGATTCGAACCTGTAGAAAAGGATTATCCTGTCGACTCAGCCTAAGTGCCTCCATGTCCTGATCGATGTTCCGTGTTCTGCCAGGCGTCAAGGTTAAAACGGAGTGCGACGGGGACGGCTGACAGGCGATGACGACATCGACGGCTGCCACGCTCAAGGTCGACGGAATTCTCGATACCTGATTGTCATTCTCGCTGCCGCTGCGCCGGCAGGCGTTCGTGATGATCGCTGGAACAGATATCATCGGCAACGGTCAGCGGAATCGGCGCCGAAAGCTCCTACTCGCCGGCACACCGGCCTTCCGTGTTTGCCGCATAACAGCGTCGCGCGATAACGCCACCGCGGCGATTGAAACCTGCAGGATGCTTCTACGTTCCAAGCTTTACACAGAATCGTTCGATCTGTCCTAGAACGCGTCATTTCTGCGACACCGTCTCGGTTTCGCGGGCAGGGAGCCTCGAAAATTCAAATCGACCGGACAACTCGATGTTTGCGTTGTCACGAATTATCCTCGGTGTTGACGTTCGTTGATGATAACGTTGCCTGTGCACAGGGTGAAATTAAATAGCCGATACAGGCGAGCAAACTTCGCTGTCGCGTTTTGCATCCCTAAGGATGAGAGATGGTCATGCGAGCGTAGGCCCGGAGACTCTTCGTTTTCGAGATAATAGCGACTTATAGCGGGGTAATCGATGGCAAATAATACCATCGACGATGTCGCCGCGATGAAAAGTTTAATCGTCACGGTATGTGACAAAATTCGAAATACGCCAGGACTTTTTGAACGTGTTCGGCAGCCCATGAATCGTGGATGCGACGTATCATGGCACAGGGATGTCGTTTTCAGCAATTTATTTGAGTAAGTTACGATTCTTTAAAATCTTCTATCGCGAACAAAATTTATTTATCTCGAAAACGAAGAGTTTCCGGACTTATGTCTATATCACCTTTCCTCGTCCTTAGGGGGTGCAGGATACGCAATCGAAGTTTGTTCACATATTTCGCGGACACACTGTGTATGTAAGTGCGATAATTGCGAAGATATGTTGGGTAAATAAGAACAAGAAATGAATGTGTTGCTGTTGGAATTGTGTTTTGGTTCTCGCGAGACTCGAATATTTTCATGCTGACAGGTATGTACAGTAAATTCTTCCTAATTGACGCTCGGATTGTTTATAAAAATGGACGATTCGGGAAGAGGAGGTACGATCATTCGGGCCTCGCGGCTCGCTTTTGTATTTACCAATTGTCAACCACTGTTGAAACAAAATTCTCAAAATTCCCAAATTGTCCACTTTTGTTTCCATTAAGAAAGAATTTACTGTACCATGTTTCAGAATTTACTGTAGCATGTTACTTGTACGATGTTACAAGAGTTGTTATGAAAATTGTGAAAATCATCATTTCTACGAATCTTGTTTTCATTTCAATAAGGCACGATAATTAAAATCGATTGGATAATTTGACATTTCTCATTGTAACAAGAATTATGTTCAAGTGCGGTAATAATTATACCGCGGATGTTTATGCAAAATAAAAATTGTCTGCATCAATTGCAAAGGATAGAAATCAGGTAGCAACTTTATTCTTTTCTTAATCATCTTAGTAGATTAACAAAAATACATTGACGCTTTTAAATCGTAATTTTGCGATAAATGCATAAAATCCGCGGTCTAATAATAATACTACAAGTGTATAATCTGTTATATTGTCCTATCAAATATCATATTTATCATATATGATTGATATATAATAATTAATATATATATATTAATATTTAAATTTAAATTACATATATTTTAATTATATATAATTTAAATGCGTAAGAACGGACGGAAAATTTCCAAATTATCAGAATTGTAAAAATATTAGTGCGAAATTCAAAGGAGCGTTTCAGGAAATTGGAAATAAAAAAGGCAACGTGTGAAAGAAGCGTATGAAAATGATGTAATTATTGGCACAGGGAAATATAAAACGAATGTTTACGAACGACGAGTAAACTGCTGGAAGAGCGAGCAGGTGAAACACGTGAGATGAATATAAAAATAACGTTGCACTATTTTCAACCTATTACAAGTATCAAGAATAGAAATCAATTTCTATTTAACTCCTCTTTGCCGCAGTTGAGGCAGAAAATTTGTGATCTGTCTGACGAAGGGATTATTGGCGTACAGGTAGAAAAATCAGGAAAATGTTTCGGCTCGCGAATAGTAAAACGCCGACAGAATTATTTGTTTAAACTGGAATCATGCGGGGATATTCTATCGGTTGACCCAGTTTTCGCGGTGTATCGCTACATGTACATATATGTATAGCGTTGCTCGTTATTTATTATTCGAACTAATTATCCTAATTGGAGGATCCACCGGCGACTCGGCCATTTTTCACGTTTCAGCGAGGCTCTGGTACGCTCGTGTGCAAACTGTAATGGCAATTTCGACGAGATCGCGAAGAACGGCGCGCGGCGCACCATTTAAAATTTCCAGCAATAATAAGAAACATCGTTTGCCATGATGGGGGTTCACGGTGAGCATTATTTCGAGGTGAAAATTCATCGCTAACGAAGCCGGCGCGCGGCAATTGAAATGATATTGCACGATAAAGTACAGAAATCTAGATGGCAACGGATGAACGGATGAAAATCCGGGATTTTCTGAAATAATGTTTTTTGAAACTTCGCTGCGAGAAATTAATTGCTCCATACTCAATTAAAAACAAAACGATCGTAAAATTGAATGTAGCCGTAGGCTGTGAAAACAACGGAAGAATAATATTAAAATAATATAAAAATAATAAATAATCGCATAGAGCAATTGAAAGAATTGACAATCGGCTTCGCGGCTAAATATATCGCGCTTGCGCTAATTATACACGCGCAAGTTACGGCGCTTTAATTAGTCGTTTGATTTTTTATTTCCACGATATTAAAAATAAGCCACCCCACATTTGATTTATTTCTGCGCGCGTCGCTCCGCCAGGGATTGTTTAACACTGCTAACCGGCTTTCCGCGAGTAAAAACAAAAAAGTTTCTTTTCCTACTTTCTCCTTCTCTCTCAGGGGTCCTTCCAACCTGCTCCCTCCCGAACGCGAGCGCGCATAAACATTATTGCACCGGTCCGCGCGAGTTGCACGAAACTTTTTCTCGCTCGTGGCCGCGGGTCTGCGCAGGTCTGTGAATTAAAAAAAATGCTTTTAAAAGGATTGAGGTAAACCGAGCGAAGGACGAGAGTCGCGGAGAGGAGCAACGTGTTAAGAAATTAATTTCGAACTCCCTATACTCGGAGGCGGAGCTTTTAAACGATTTGCTTCCTAAGAAATTGTTCGGTCCATTTTAAACCGCAATCTAGAAACGTGTATCTGGCTTTTTAGCGTTTCAACGGATATCTTAATATTTTATTTTACAATGTTTCAGCTTCGTGCATTTCTCTAAAATTGTAATTTCTGCTCTTTGGCGGAGCGCGAGGGTTTTGTTGAAATTTGAATGTCTGCGTATCCTGGTCGCCGGTGAATTGGCGCCAAAGCGATCACGGTCGTGAAAAATGCGTAGAAGATTGTCTGTTTTCGGTGACTTACCCGCTGTCTCGACTTTCGGGGCACGTTCCATTTCCTCCTCCTCGTTGATCTTCATTCCTAACGTAAGCTTCTTCGATTTAAAAAAGCTCGAGAGAAACGCTACGCCCTTACGCTTCACACGATCGTATCGCTGAGCGTTCTCCGATGACACGTGTATCATCATTCGTCTAAACATAAAAAGAGAACCGAGGTTTCCGTCAGTCAGTTCGACGACCAAACGAATCTTTCTCGCGGTCGCAAGCAACTCGCGGTTATCGACTCATCGGAGACATTGGGGGGCAAAAACATCACAAGGGGCTCTTCTCGAGAGCAATCATTCTGCTGGTTGATGTTCTTCATATTTTCAAACACTGCCCGAAGACAACTTTTCGAAACTCTATTTACCTGGTCTTTGCACCAAGGTCTCCGATTGTAACGATCGCCCTGATAATCGTTTGAACTTTGCTTCGAAATTTCTATCAGTACACCAATATTTGGAACATTTTAGATCGGAGGAATTCAAATTCGGAAGTTGCTTTTGGCAGATTGACGTTAGTAAAAATATACGTCGGGGTGGGAACGTTTTCGTCCACACACAGTTAGGGGCGTATTATTTCTGTGTAATATTATGATAATATTATCGTTTGCTCCGCAATGTTCAATGTTTAATTTCAGAATAATCAATCTGTAGCAAACACTTCGGCAGATCGTTGTAGTTGAAACAACAAAACTCTGTATTGTAAATAACTGATAGAGTACTGTAAATAATAATACTCTGTATCATACGTAAGTAGCATCGACAATGAAAACATAAAATTTCTACTCTGTAGAAAACGGAAAGATACACTGTTTATTTATGCTGTACAAATGTAAACAATATCGTTCTCTTATTATATTTTTTACGGTTCATTTGATTTTTTAATTGGTAGCGTTTTCAGCGAGCAAATCTGAACAACGAATTCACCCCACCCTAACGATCTATCTATCTATATAAATCAGAGAATATAAACAGTCCTCGTGTTCTATGAAAACAGACAGTAATTTCTTCGTTTCAACATCGTTTATTATCGTATCGGATCCCCACCGATGACAATTTTATCGAGCAAGCCTGAAAAATAAACAAATTAACCAACACGGTGGAAATGAGGAAAACACAATTTTTGTACTCTGTGAAACACGAACAGCAATTTTTTCGTTCCAACCATCGTTTACGACCGCACTGATTTACGACCGACGTTGATTTTACTCAACAAACCTGATCAACGAATTAACATCCTGTTCGTAACGTAAACAAACAGACCAGTTTTGCGAATTAATACGTTCAGTGCCGCGCGAGTCACGCATGGATGCCATTAATTTTTAATTAGGTTTTTGAAATTCATTTTTATATTGTAACATATTGAACAAATCGAATGTTACTAGGATTCGTAGAATGCAAAATAGCTGAACTAATAATTTCTATGGAAAATTATCACTTTCTGGTTTCCGTTTCATTAACACTAGATTTACGGAGCACAAAAAACAGCTGTTTTATATTAGTTTATAAAGTGTGCTGTTTCATATTAGTTCATAAAGGTTACAATAAGACATTTGTTCCGATTTTTAACAAGTGTTATTATAACATTTGCCGTAAGTAACATATAAATTGAATAAATAACTTATAAATGTATCTTTGCTGTATGAATAATCGTAAATTGATAAATTAGTGATGGCTTCCGCAAATCTAGCGTTAATCGAATGTCCTCGATATTGTGTGAATTTTTCGAGTTGATATTCGGCACTTGGCGTGTCAAGAAAGCAAAGTGCTCGCGCTGTACAAACGCCGATGCCAATTTCTCGACATCCTTTAAATCGCTGCTTTTAACAATGCTGCGATCTGAACGACAACGTAACCACCCCCCTCCCCCCCAAAAAGATAAGAAAACCGGACGAAACAATTGACTGGAAAAGACGTCGACCGATTGATTGGGCAAAACCGGCCAGTCACTCTTCGGCATCGAGAGATGCCGAATGGTCATTGTTCGGAGATGACGAGCAACATCTATAGCCGTAGTCGCCGGTACGCGGAAGGATACGACGACGTGTCCCGCTCGCGAAACAAATTCACAGCCGGCATCGATCCGCTCCAGGACGTGACTCTGTCGTGGCCGGATCCTGTTCGCGGCGAGTTTTACCGCGTTTCGTCGTCGAATTCGAGCGATGAATGACTGTCGTGGCCGGCGTTGGTTCGTCGCGGAACCGGAAGTCCATCGGAGCGGTGACTACCCACGGCGATCGCATTGCCAACTGCAGCTGCAGCGGAAAGGGTGTGCTCTCCGGCTCCTCGCGGGACTTTGCGCAGCTGCAAAAGTGGCCCCGCTTCGAGACCGCGCGGGCCGAAGCGGGCTGGAGCGGGCCGCAGCGATAGAGCGTGCGTGAAGCTCGCAAACTAAGAAAGAACGGTGGAAAAATAATCGAAAGAGAGAGAGAGAGAGAAAGAGAGAGAGAGAGAGAGAGAGAGCGGTGAGACCACCGCCAAGTGTTCCGAAAGCACCGGCGAGAGCACATCCCCGGAAGACGCACACCTAAGCGCGACTTGGACAGTCTCGCAGTTAAAGCACCCCTAAACTTTGATCTGCGCGGAAACTCGAAGCTTGCTACCCGATCAAACGACTACTTTCGCAGTTTTTATTACGAAATTACACCGTGATAATTAGCGAACTTCGTATTTGATGCGATGATTTCATCCCCTACAATTTTTCTTCTCCGCTATTCTAGATTTTCGAGAAATCGAATTTACAAGACTTCCAACTTTGAGAATTTTCTTTTCTGGTTTAAACTGTATAAATTATTAGAATGATCTTTTGTGGAGTACCAACATCGAAACCAGTGTTCATGTATTCTTATGAAGATTCCCTCGCGCAACTTTGTAGCTCTTTATCTTTCAACTTCTGCGTCTTTAACTTATCACCCGGTCGCGAGACTTTTATCTCCGTTAGGTCTCCGATAGAATTATCTAATGATCTTTTTATACGGAAGAAGAATCGTATAGTTCGGCTACGTCTGCCTAGAGTAATCAAGTTTCACTGGTATTATTTTTATTCTATTTTGTTTTTTATTCTATTTGCGAATATCGCGATGCAATAAATTTGACCAGTAATTAGTGGACGACGGATTTTACGCATTTATGACAGAAACGACTAAGCGAAGGGAAAAACTGCGAAAAAATTAGAAGAATTTAAGGACACCGTTACATTATTTTCAACTGATTACAATCATTAAAAGAGGAAAGACTTTTTCTTACAATTAACATGGATAATTTTTATTTTGCACAATGATCCACGGCCTAGTAATTAGCAAATCATGGCAGCATTTTTCTGTACAAAAAAAATGCGAAAGCTACGATTAAATCGTAGTTAAAAGCTGCTGAAGTGCTCGGAATAAAATCGGGACCATCCGGACGCAGCATTGCAAAGAGCAGACTGTTTGAATCGTTCCACGAACGCTCGGCGCAGGTAAAGAAGATAGGGGCTGCTGAAAGGTTCACCCTGCCGCGAGAATTTCCAAGATGCATAGTGCACTTTCTCCAGGTGCTCATCACCCCTGTGACCTACATTCCTCTCCGCGTTCGAGCTGCCTGATTAAACCGAGCCAGAATATATCATCAAGCAGAGCCCAGCACTTCAGCTACTTAAGCGCATCCAACCCCCTCCCCGACCAATACCATCACCTTACAGCCAAACACCATCAAACGCGTTTAACCCTTTGACTACGGCTTAACCAAGCCATGCACGGTGCGGCGCGCGTACATTGTAGCGAACGGCGTGTCGCGATAAAATACTGTCACGATAATAATACCGTTTCTCAAGAATTAAACCGCGAACGCGGTTTATCGTAACTGGTTCGACGGAGAAAAACGATCCGATGGTTTAAGCCGTTCGGCTCCGCTGTCGCGGGAACAGTAAACAAAACAGAGACATCGCCTGACACAATGAAAGCGATCACGATTGTCGCGCGGCTGAAAATTTACTGGCTGCCGCGAAACCACCCTCGCTAGGCGCGGCTCAACCTGTTAACCGTCGTGGACGAATCAGCTCGTAGTGACCCTTCCGCGACTTCTCACCTTATTGTTTCGAAAAAGAGAGACTTCGTTAGAGCGTTTGTCTGTTGAAAGACAAACTGTCGGGCTGCTTGAAACTTGAAAATCATTTTGCGAGTTTCCATCCCTCGTTTGCTACCCTTGTGCGTCGGTGTCGGATTGATACGATTACAATTCCACGCTGCTTCACCGATGCCGAGGACGAAATTACTATTAAATTACTACCGCGTTCATTCTGTTTTGATTCAACACTAAAACTATTATACTGCTTAAGATAAGATAAAAGTACATATTATGGAACGCTTTTTGAAAAGTGTCATTCTTGAATATTTATTATTGATGTTTCTAGCTAACGCGATGAACTCTGAATTATTTCATTTAATATGAATAAAAATTCATTCGAGCAAAATAGTAAATGTAATGAGCAAAATAGTACCATGGAACATCGTTTTCGTACCATGTTCCTAACTTGGAACGGCTATTTGCATTGGAAGTACACAATATGTACTGAAATATTTCATTTAATATGAATAAAAATTCATTCGAGCAAAATAGTAAATGTAATGAGCAAAATAGTACCATGGAACATCGTTTTCGTACCATGTTCCTAACTTGGAACGGCTATTTGCATTGGAAGTACACAATATGTACTGAAATATTTCATTTAATATGAATAAAAATTCATTCGAGCAAAATAGTAAATGTAATGAGCAAAATAGTACCATGGAACATCGTTTTCGTACCATGTTCCTAACTTGGAACGGCTATTTACATTGGAAGTACACAATACGGAACAGTATGTTCTTGGAAACACCCATATTCGAATAAACAATCTTTTTTCACAGTTGATCGTTACATAACAGAGTTCGTGTGCGTGAATTTATAAAGATCTAGTTTTTATTGTATTGTTTATGCTATTGTTTCAAGAAGGGGTCACGATTGAGCGGTGTTCCATAGTAGGCGCTTTTCTCTTGTAAGAATCAACTACATGAAAAATAATTCAGTTTCTTTCTTCAAGCAGATATTTGATTGAAGATCCCATCAAATCTGAGTCAATGCAGTTTTCGTTATTTCGATGAAGCAAAATATAATTTTATAATGTTAATAATA